TCACTTGGCTGAGACGTGTCTTTTTGTGCTTTGCTCAATTATAGGCCTCCGCTAACACCTCAACAGTGTCATAAGGCTGGGAGTGAGTCTTTTGTGCTGACATATTTTTATTTAATTATTGATACATTTTTTAACATTTTTGGCACCCATGGGCAACGTATTAAATTAAACTTTTACAATTTTTGTTTAAATTTAATGCAGTTTTTACGGCATACTAACAAAACAACGCTCTTTCTTTTAATGATATTTTATTAATCAGAATTTTACTGGTATTCCTTATACAAATATTCATTTAAGTTTTGGCGCGAATTGTAAACTATAGCTAATAAAAAAAACGAAAGATGTATTTTTTTGATAATACAAATTCAATTTTTCCTGGCTCTAACCCAGATATGTTTTTTATAGATTTAAACGGTTTCTTTGATCTTTGATGCAATGAAAACTATTATTTTTAAAGTTGTAATCATATAGTATACTAGAAAAAGTATCTTCATATAGTATACTAGAAAAAGTATTCCATTTTTATAAATTTTGCGTACTTAATGAGGCGCCTTTGACAAGCCATAAACTCTTCTAAAAAAAATATTCAAAGCGCATTGAACCCAATAGAAAAGCTCGAATTTGCTCGTTCGGAGTTAATGGGATTGCTTTGGCTTAAAATATTGCCTCATCAGTCTTGTGCTTTCGAAATTGCTCGAAAAAATACAATAAACGAGAATGCAAAAACCGCTGCCGACAAGCAACGACCGTTTTTCTGACATAAAAGTTAAATAAATTTTTTCTAGAATTTTCTTTAAGTTTCTTGTTGATTGTTTTCGATACAAAAATAATTTAAGTACGTTGTTCAAGAGAAGTTTCTGGATTTCTAATGATATTAAAAACTTTTCGTCAAAAATTTCAGTTTTTTTTTGCTTTGAAGGGCAGTATATTCGGGTAATATAATGCAAAATTAATAATGAAAACCCGGCATTAAAGCTGTGACACCAAACGCTTTACATTTAAATTATTTTGCATATGAAAAATGCTATTTTTACCGATACTTGTCTGTTATTTAACCTATAACCAGTGGCGTAGCTAGCCTTGAGTGGGCCCCGTATAAAAAATCTGGTAGGGGCCCTTATATGGGAAAAGCTGCTGGCAAAAAAATTTTTGGGTGTCACGACCATTTACTATTTTACTATTAGAGTTACGTGAAAGAGTGGCTGTACAAGCTAAACTATAAGTAATACAGAAAAATATTTCTTATCAAATTTGTAGGGCACAAAATTCCCTACAAAATTGTTATTTACGTTTTTTATCTACAATCAATAGATCCAGATTTTCGAGTAGAACGACAATTTGTGAAGAACATATTCAACTTACAGACTTGCTTAAATGGACATTTTTGAAGATAATTTCATCCTGTATAAAGATTTTAGAAACGAAATTCGAAAAAAATATTCTTACTGTACGAACGGAAAGAGAAAAGAATAAAAATTGTTTTTTAATGGTTGTTAAAGGGAAATATTTAAAAATTGAATAGCAACGGCTTAAAATAAAGATTAAGAGCATTGTAATAGCTCAACATTTTTGTTTTCAGACAGGTTACAAAATTTTTAGGTGGGACTTGGAAAAAAAATGTCGCTTTAAAATGAAGCACCCGAATACACTACTTTTAAAAGGTTTCTATTTTAAAATAAAGGCAAGTCATTTAAAATAATTGTAACGCTAATAATTAATTCTAATTTGCACAGAACAATATGCGCAGACTGCGCCGCGGACAACGCATAGCGGAAATGTGCGGGCACAAACAATTCGTATGAGTTCACTGCCTCGTTGGAACAGGAGGGTATTCAGGAAAATTTTAATTTGATAAATCGAAGTATAAACAATTAAATAATAAAATTATTTATTTATTTATTTAATTTCATACCTCAATTTTTTTAACATGTGGGTAATATGTTTTTTCTTACGCATGTCGAGCCAATCGGGGGGCCCCCCTAGCCGGGGGCCCCGTATCATTGATACGGCTGATACAGCGGTAGCTACGCCCCTGCCTATAACGTTATAACGTTAAAATTTTACATTTACCTGAAATATTTTAAGTTTACACTGCATATCGGCATACAAAAATTACTTTTTTATTATTATTTTTATAATTAAATGTCTAAGTTTAATAAAATATGGATGTGTCGAGTTATAAAACAAACTAAAACAATTTATTATAGTAAACTCAATCTTGACAAAATTTGTATTTACCTTTAGTTGTTTACATCCAGACATCGGCGTATATTTGCCATCTAGATTAACACGTTCACTGCCGACGTAATAGTTCGCCCATATTGCAGTGCCGATAGATTTTTTTAGAAATTTTAGATACAAATGGACTAAAGATGTTTCTTTCGTTTCTTATTGAAAGGTTCTATTTGAAAAAATACTAAAACAAAAAACAAATAAACAAACGCGGTAGACGCGTTGGCGGCACCCAGCGACAAAAACCATGCTATATGCCATCGTACAGAACGCGGGTCCCGCGTGCTCGGCATATTGTAAAATACACAAGAACGCGGTAGCCGCGTTGCCGGCAGTTAAAGTGTTAATACCCATAGCGATTTAAAGTCATGGAAACATAAATAACGTTAATGAATAATCGAATATCTTTTCAAAATGATCAAAGGGTTTTTATTTTAATTAAACGCTTCGCGAATGGCCAATTTGGTATGTTTTTTTGGGTGGTTTTTAAGTTTTTTGTCGGGTATAAACAAGTTAAAAGCAAATTTGCAAATGCTTCTATGGCTTCCACTTATTTTGTTGTCTGGATTGTCGAAAAAAAAACACTCCACTTTACGGCCACGAGCGGAACATAATGCACTGTGAGGAAAAAATATTTTTAAATTAGAATTATTTAAAAATATTTTAGGGTATTATGGACAGTTTTAGAACAATGTAAGTATTTTAAACACAATTATTATATATACAGGCATTTTAAATACATTTTTGAAATAATCTAAACACTTTTAACTTAAAAGTTTTTAGACAAAATTAGACAGTTTTTAGATGATATTAGGTTAAGGCAATTTTAAATAATTATAAAATAGTTTTGGGATATTTTAAAGTTTAAAATTTAAACGATTGTAGTTTTATAATAGTATACGGAATTTTGTCTGACAATTTTATTTAAAATTTAAAATATAAGATTGTTCTAGTAAAAAAACAAGTATATATGTCACGGTTGAAAATCGCAACAATTGTTTTGGTGCGTTTTGTTGTAAATTAAAGTAATTTTAGCGGTGTAAACGGGGTTGAATTGTTTTACTTTGATAACAGTTCTTTATTTTAATAACATTGTTTTGTTAGTTTAAGTTAATATTTAATTAATAAAATTTCATTAAATATAATATTCTATTAAAATCGTTTTTATGGAAAGATCTTATTAATCTATTTAATTAATTGTGTAAATCGGGCTTTGTTATACGCATGTGCTAATTTGTCAAGAGCACGAGAGGTGTGAAAATTTCACAGTGAAATTCACCTTCCTTTTTCGATGCAACTCTCGTGAGTGAAGGCCGAAAATATTTCGGCCTTACCGTACTTACCGTACTTATCGTACTACCGTACATATCGTACAGTATTTATCCAATTCAGTAATTAAATGGTCAAAGTATTTTTGGTAATTAGCAATTTTTTTGGACAATTTCAATACTACGCAGTAAGTGAGCATTGGTTTTTTTTGGAGACGCCACGCTGTTTTTTTGTGAGGATTCATAGTGCAACAAATTTTATGGTATAATACGTCGCAATTTGCAACTGGTTTTGTTTGCATTTTGAAGAGTTTGCAAAAGCCGGCAAATTTTAACCTCACTTATCAAGTGACACTTAACCTCACTTTTGGACACCTGTCACTGCATGGTTCCATATCAATGGTTCGATAGAGTCAAATCAACCAATAGGAAGTTAATCTTGGATTTTAGAGTTTCACAGTACAGTTAGAAACTTGTAAGGTGAAGTACACTTTTATATGCTATTTTTTTCAACTCAACTGTCCAAAGGTTTTTCACAAGTGTTAGTAGATACTATTTTAATATACGAATTTAGTTTAAATTTAAATATATTTTGTTTTAGTACATGCTCCTTCAGAGAGTGTTACTATTTAACTTGTTAATTAATATTTTACATTTTATGATTAGTTTGTTCTGGTGCACAATCTCTCAGAGAGTGTTACTATTTAACTTGATAATTATTATATTGTTATAACAGCTACCGTGAAGGGGCTACCATTTTGTTGAATAAATAGTGTTATTATGAATGGTGAGATGTTTTGTTTGATTTAGCCACTAATATTTTCAGAGTACATTTTGTAGTATATTTTTTAGTATATTTTATCTTAATTTACTGTGTTTAACAAGAGAACAACCCCCCCATTTGAAAAGTCTCATTTTTCGTCTACTTTGAGTTAGTCGGTGCGTGTAACGGATTCTTTTTTTGTAAAATTTTTGATTACTTTTAACATCGGTAGCTTTATTCCGTTACATATAAAAAAACAGAAAAACGACTTTTTAACACATTGTTTACAAAAAAATTGGAAGGGTCACGAACCGTTTAAAATTAAAATCCCTAATTTTAATGCTTCTAAGAACCTCTTAATAGCACTAAAAACGATGCGTTCAAATAGCATCGAAATAGCATCGACATAGCATCGAAATGGACAAAAACATTTTATTATTAAAAAAAAATCCTGACTAAAAATTGTTTTACTCCTTAGTGCAAACTCCTGAGACACAAAGCATTGTTTATCTATACCAGCTTTTCTTTGACGTTTATACTGAATAATAAGCGATATTGTTGTATACACGTAAGAATGTTATTTGATTAAAATATCGCGAAGCACTTAATACTGATGATAAGTTATACCTAAGTGGTTTAGTTTTGGTATCAAATACCCCACACAAAAAAAGTAACGAAATGACATTTAAAAGGTTTTTCTACAGTATATCTATGTCTTTAAAAACGTTGGTACTTACAAGGAATGCATCTTTGGTTCTGATTTTTTTCTAGGTTGGCCTTTCTCGTTCCATGTCGACATGAGTGTGCCTCAACTTTTATTGCTATCTAAAAAAAGTTCACAATGTCAAATATAAACTTTAAAAACAATTATCAAGCGTTTTTGTATATTCTGGGACGTTGCGAGGGGGTGTCACACCGTGTTACCACCCTTGTAAAATTTGCATTTATCAACCAATTTTCGTAAACTTTTTTAATTAAATAATGCTAAGGGCATGGATATGACAAACGATTTATGGTTTTAAAAAATTTCATTTTGTTGGGCTTATACAGGGTGTCCGGGAAAAGGAGGTCAATCCGTTAACCATATATTCCTTGAGTTAAAATAATAAGACTTTCATAATACCATTTTTCAATTTAGAGCTTCATGTTCGATATACAGGGCGACAAAGTTTGAAATTTAAAACTGATTTTTTTTAATAATTCGAGTAATTGATAAGATATTAAGTTTAAATTCGGTACACTACTTCAACATAAATAGTTACATTTTTGGAGACCAACAAAACAAAAAACAATTGTCAAATAATCAAAATAGGGGGGGTCCAGTACTCACTGACTTCCCCTATTTTTTAGTACGTGCGCCAATGACTTCCAAACGGTATTTTTTCAGGTAATCATTTATTGTTGAACATTTTTTGTCTCCTATAAAATTTTGATAAAATGATTTGTTTTAGAGATAATTTGTAAAGTATGGGTCAGTCCATATCAAATTTTCGAAATTTATTTATTTTTTTGAAAAAATTTAGGTCATGTGATATATCATAAAAAAGGTCTCTAATAGGCCTTTAAAATAAGCCACCACTCACCTTTCTACTTTTAATAGTTTACGAGATATCGCTATTTTTGTAAGTACTTGCAAGACCCAAATTTATCGGAATTTTTTGATTTTCAAAAATCAATAAAACTAAAGCCACCTATCGAAAAAAATTCATATATGGGATTTTTGAGTTTTTTAGTGAGGTAAACAAATTTACCAAAAATTATCAAAATCGGAGATGGTGGGGGAAGACCTTTGGTTGATTTGATATGGACTGACCCATACTTTAAAAATTATCTCTAAAACAAATCATTTTATCAAAATTTTATAAGAGACAAAATTTTTTCAACAATAAATGATTACCTGAAAAAATACCGTTTGGAAGTCATTGGCGCTCGTACTAAAAAATGGGGGGAGTCAGTGAGTACTGGACCCCCCCTATTTTGATTATTTGACAATTGTTGTTTGTTTTGTTGGTCTCAAAAAATGTAACTATTTATGTTGAAGTAGTGTACCGAATTTAAACTTAATATCTTATTAATTACTCGAATTATTAAAAAAAATCAGTTTTAAATTTCAAACTTTGTCGCCCTGTATATCAAACATGAAGCTCTAAATTGAAAAATGGTATTAAGAAAGTCTTATTGATTTAACTCAAGGAATATATGGTTAACGGATTGACCTCCTTTTCCCGGACACCCTGTATATAATTATTCAAGTTTTGTCTAATTTAACCGAGCTTATAGCTCTTCAAATAAAAAAGATACCCATATAAGTATACTTGGTGAACCCTGTAAATATATATATTTATAAATATTGCTTTAGATTTTCATATTTATTGATGGTTTTCCGGGATCTGCTCCGTGTTGTTGGTTTTTGGTTCTTAAAAAAAACCGTATGTCTGACGACTATTCGGTACAATCTCATGTACCATCTCCAGGTTTTATCTGCTGGGCTGCTGTTCCTGCTTTACTGCGAGTCCACTCCACGTCTTACTCGCAGCAGAGCAGCAACAACATCTCAGCAGATAAGACCTGAAGAGTTTACATGAAATTGTACCAAAACTTCGTCAAACATACGGTTCTTTTAAGATTTCGGAAATATATATATATATAAGGCCCGGATTTTTAGGTCATAAAAAAGTGATAAAAGGTTCCTAAATTAGGTGATATTTTTAATAAAATAGGTTATTATTTTAGGTACCTATATTTTAGGTACTTAATTAAAAAGTTAATATTGGTTGGCCCGTATTTTTAGGTTATAAAAAAGTAAAAAAAAATGCAAAAAATAGGTCACATAGTTATAAAATTAGGTTAATATTTTAGGTGCCTACATTTTAGGTACTTAAATAAAAAAAAATAAGCTGATTTATTGAAATAAAATGTTTTCATTATAATGTCGATATCGTTGTAAAACCATACATAGGTCTTATGTAGTTTTAGTTACATTATAATTGCTCTGTTAATGTCCGGCAATAAAGGATTTAAATTAAAAATGAAATAGTTATTAAAATAATATTTATTATTAACATAAACTGAACAAAAATGTTTGGTTGGAAAAATAACAAATAAAATAAAAGATTCTTTAAAAAAGTAAATATAACATATCACAAATAATGTAAAATAGCAAAAAAAAACATAATAGGAACTCTAAAATTACAAAAAAAAACAAAATAGAAACTCTAAAATCAAAAAAAAATAAATTGTATTAATTTATTTAACGATTATATGCATGACAGACAAAATATTTCTCCAAGTTTTCAGAAGTAAAGCTAGTGCGTTTATCAGTCAAAACATTTTTAAACCAAGAGAATGATCGTTCAACGTCACAGGACGGGTAAAAAAAAGTTCATTTTAGGTATTAAAAATACAATTTAGGTGCAAAAAAGGAAAATAGGTGAAAAAAATATAAAAAAGGTATTTTAGGTCAAATAAAACTTAGTCAGATGACTCCATTTTTTATAAAACGGGCAAATACAAAAAAAAAATATCTTTAAAACCTAAAAAACCAACAAAAGGTGTTTTACCTAAAATCCGGGCCTTATATACAGGGTGTCCGGGAAAAGGAGGTCAATCCGTTAACCATATATTCCTTGAGTTAAAACAATAAGACTTTCATAATACCATTTTTCAATTTAGAGCTTCATGTTCGATATACAGGGCGACAAAGTTTGAAATTTAAAACTGATTTTTTTTAATAATTCGAGTAATTGATAAGATATTAAGTTCAAATTCGGTACACTACTTCAACATAAATAGTTACATTTTTTGAGACCAACAAAACAAAAAACAATTGTCAAAAAAATCAAAATAGGCGGTTCCAGTACTCACTGACTCCCCCTATTTTTTAGTACGTGCGCCAATGACTTCCAAACGGTATTTTTTCAGGTAATCAATTATTGTTAAAAAAAAATTGTCTCTTATAAAATTTTGATAAAATGATTTGTTTTAGAGATAATTTGTAAAGTATGGGTCAGTCCATATCAAATCAACTAAAAGGTTCTTCCCCCACCATCTCCGATTTTGATAATTTTTGGTAAATTTGTTTACCTCACTTAAAAACTCAAAAATTCCATATATGAATTTTTTTCGATAGGTAGTTTTTGTTTTATTGATTTTTGAAAATCAAAAAATTTCGATAAATTTGGGTCTTGCAAGTACTTACAAAAATAGCGATATCTCGTAAACTATTAAAAGTAGAAAGGTAAGTTATGGCTTATTTTAAAGGCCTATTAGAGACCTTTATTATGATATATCACATGACCTAAATTTTTTCAAAAAAAAAAATTAAATTTCGAAAATTTGATATGGACTGACCCATACTTTACAAATTATCTCTAAAACAAATCATTTTATCAAAATTTTATAGGAGACAAAAAATGTTCAACAATAATTGATTACCTGAAAAAATATCGTTTGGGAAATCATTGGCGCACGTACTAAAAAAAAGGGGAGTCATTGAGTACTGGACCCCCCTATTTTGATTATTTGACAATTGTTTTTTGTTTTGTTGGTCTCAAAAAATGTAACTATTTATGTTGAAGTACTGTACCGAATTTGAACTTAATATCTTATCAATTACTCGAATTATTAAAAAAAATCAGTTTTAAATTTCAAACTTTGTCGCCCTGTATATCGAACATGAAGCTCTAAATTGAAAAATGGTATTATGAAAGTCTTATTGTTTTAACTCAAGGAATATATGGTTAACGGATTGACCTCCTTTTCCCGGACACCCTGTATATATATATATATATATATATATATATATATATAAATATATACACATATCGAATAACTCTAGAAGAAATCAATTTATCGAAAAATAATAAAAGACCTTTTTTGTAGAGCGTTACATTTTATATAAAAAACTGCAATGATCATTGCCATAAGTTACTTTGATACAGAGGTATAAAATTCCAAACATAAAATTATTTTTTTTTCATGTTAATTAAATGAGAAACTAAAATAAAAACAGCGACCTCTTAGAGTTTAGCTGGAACGCCTATATTAAATAGAAACATTTGAGAGGGTAAGAGCGAAAAAAAAATTTTTTTATTTTTTGAAGCACCCTAATCTATATACATATATAAATTAAGGTGCTCCGCATCGCACTTTTCGATTTTCCATAAGAATAACAGGAAACATTATTTTTGTTTCTTTTTATTTTTTTAACTAAGGAACGATAGGTCGTACTGTAAAGTTCCGAATTTCCGAATTTCCAGAGCTCAAAATTTCGATTAGTTTTTAGCCCTTTGAACTAAAAAATCCAGGAGTTTTTTCGAGAAAACGACTAAATTGACGGTTAATTTCACTTTAACCTTGAATAACTTTTAACCAAAATGACTCTTGACCTTTTTTGTAGAGCATTCAATTATCTACAAAAATATGTCAGTATTTACAGTAACCTATTGTTCGTTAGTTACAAAAATAAAAAGAAACATAAATAATTTTTCCTGTTATTCTTATGGAAAATCGAAAAGTGCGATGCAGAGCATCTTAATTTTGAAATTAAGAGCTCATTTTTTTACAGACTCATTTTTATATCTATACGAAACTTTTGAGCGTGGTTCCGTGAAAAAAAAACAAAAAAATGTGTTATTGAATCGCCCTACTATCAGAGCTGTTCCGAGTACAATGAAAAAGTACTCGAGTACACTTTAGTTATGAAATGTTGGGATAAATGCTAGAGAAATGGGGCGAATAAGAAATGAATTTAGAATCACTAGTGCAAAACTAAACACTAGCCGGCCTATTGCCTTCATCAAATATTGATATTTCAAGGCCGGCTA